TGCTCCGGAAGAGGTGGGACCTCTAGGAACGTAGAAGTGGCATTTGGTCTTCTCCAAGGGCTAGCGAGCCAGGCGAACCCACAGCTTCTCTGCCTGGGCTGCCGTTTGGAGTCTGGGCTGTATTACTCTTTGATCTTTTCTGCTCAGGTTGCTTTAATGGGAATGAGTCCTTGGAGACCTGCTGGGACGGTTCCCTGTCGTGCCAGTGTGAGCCCTCCCACCATAAAGACTGAAGAGAGGAGAGGAGGGATCTCAGCCCCTAATCTTTAAATAGCCAACTTTCCTCTTGAGAGAAGACCCCAAAACTTCATTAACATCTTTTGTAGAAGAAGACAATGTTGTTCAGTTGATATTAGAATAAAACTCCATGATCATTTTCAAGACTAAGGACTCTGTGTCCCAAGTAACACCTAGAGACTTTCCCGGTTGTTTACTCTCTCCATGACCTCACCCAAGTTTCTCTTGGTCATTCATTACCTAGAACAAAGACTGATGGGCATTATTTACGATGTTTTCTTTTTACTTTCTTTTTCTGAATATCTCATCTATGTTTTTATTTATCAACTTTATTGAGGTATAATTTATAGACAATGAAATATACTCATTTAAAGTATAGAATTCAATGAGTTTTGACAAATATATACATCTGGGTAACCATCACCACAATCAAAGTATCAAACTTTCTGTCACCACAAAGGGATCCCTTGTGCTGTTTTGGAGTCAGTCCCCACCTCCACAACCCCCAGGCAAACACTGGCCTCATTTCCATCATGTAGATAAGTGCTGCTGGCTCTCGAGCTTTATAGAAATGGAATCGTCCAATATGAACTCTTCTGTTTGCACCTTCTTTCACTCAGCATAATGGTTTTGATAGCCTTTCATATTGTTTTATGTATTGACAGTTTATTTTTCATTGCTAAGTAGATTTCCATTGCATGGATAAACTATAAATTTGTTTATCCGTTCACCTGTTGATTGACTCTTAACTTGTTTCTAATTTTTGGTACTATGATTAAGACTGCTAAGAACATTTGTGTACAGATCTTGTAGACACGCTTTCATCTCTCCAAGGTAACTATATAGAAGTGGAATTGCAGTCAGTAGACGTTTTCTTTTCTAAAATTAAAACAATAAAAATATGTCATTGTGTAACGGAGCTTAAATCACTTTATTTCCACTTGGACATGTAAAAGGAAGAGAGGACACCATAGCACAGAGCAGCCTACAGCCCAGAAATGGAGAGGACATGTGGACTTCCTTCGGGCAAGCAAAGTACGACCCTCTTGGGTCCGAGCTTTCTCCTAGCACAGGGAAGGGGCTTTTTTTTTTTTTTAATTATTGATTTTAGAGTGAGGAAGGGAAAGAAAGAGAGAGAGAGAAGCACTGACGTGACAGAGGAACCTTGATCGGTTGCCTCCCATGTGCGCCCGGGCCCGGAATCACACCCGCAGCCGAGGTATGCGCCCTGGCTGGGAACAACCCCGCCATCCCCTGGTGTATGGGACAGCGCCCCAACTGACTGAGCCCCTGGCCAGGGCAGGGAATGGGGCTTTTTTGCTCAAGGAGTGGCTGAAAGGAAAATTAAGAGGCGACAGCTGGTCAAGCTGTCAGGAGGCAGCCAAGACCTATGCCAGGGAGGCCGCCGCATCTGAACAGTTGGGTTTAGATAGAGCCCTGTGCAGAGTGGGAGTCTCAGGCTATTCTAGCTTTTGAAAAAACTCTGTTCTGAAACTCAGCGGTGAGCTGCCGAGATAAGGCTCTAGTGCAACGAAGCGCATGGCAAAAATTAATAGCGTGCAAGAAACCATCAGCCTTACATATGAGGATTTAAATATAAATATTTAAAGGAGCAATTTCTTTAATGTTCCAGTTGTGCTTTCACATTTGGTTATAATAGTTACCCATGACTCTGGCTAGATTAAATCAGCCATAGTCAACTAAACGCATATCAAACTTAAATGATGCCTTACCCTGTCTTCTTTCTAGAGGGAATTTTCCATGCAACATCAAAGATTGATTAAATATTTGGTATAGGAACTTAAAAAATGACTGTAGCCCGGCTGAGTGTAGCTCAGCGGTTGAGCATCGACTTAAGATCCAGGAAATTGCCGTTTGATTCACGGTCAGGGCACATGCCTGGGTTTCGGCCTCGATCCCCAGTTGGAGGTGTGCAGGAGGCAGCTGATCAATGACTCTCTCGTCATTGATGTTTCTCTCTCTCTCTCACTCCCTCTCCCTTCNNACTGTATAATTTTATTTTACATACACATGCCAGATAAAACAACAACAACAACAAAACCACTTCCTCTGAGTGCTGAACGTCTGAAGTGAAGTCTTCTGAAAGCCAAAGAGAATGGGGAAAATAATAACCACTTCATGGTTCATTAGCACCTCCCAGAATCTCATGCCTGAGAGTTTCCTGATTAAGCTATATGATCACTCACTCTCCGGTAGTTGTCCACCATCCTTCTCATCAATCATCAACTCAAAGGTTACATTTTCATAGTCCTATTTGTCTCTTTGCAATTTAATATTTAAGAAAGAAGAGAATTTAGAAAATACAACTTTAGAGAAGAATAAATAAAGGAGATGTTTAAAGTATTTTACAAGGAAACTGGCCCCACTAAAAGTACTATGCGTTTTTGGATCTTAGAGCTTATTATGGACATCTAAGTGTGTTTCCTTATAGCTCTTGCTATATGGTAGTCAAAGGAGTAGATCTGACCACTTCCAGTTTGGCTGGTATATCAATACAGAGTCTACCATATTGAAACCTCCGTGACAAAAGACAAAAGGAGAGGTAAGGACACCAGCTTGAGTCTTCTGGTAGCAGCTGGGACCTGTGGCAGGCTAGCTGAGGAGTAATCTGGCTACTATAGCTCACATAATCTGTATAGAGACACACAAATAATCTCTGCCTTTTGAAAGTCCAATTCACTAGACATGCTTGTGTTTCTTGCAAATCTATTGCTCCTACCTACCACCTCCAAATATATACACTTTGATGGAGATGGGGGGAGGGTGCTGCAATAGTAAGCAGCAGCTTTAGAGTCCTGAAGCAAATGAGTTAATGTCTTTGGCTTCCCATCTATAAAGTGAGTAATAAGTACCTTTCATCCTTACACCCAGAGGCTAGGCCCAGACTTCTTGATCCTAGGCTCCCCATCCAACATAGTATCCTGAGGCTTCCTCTTTACAGATAGCGCTGGCCCTGCCCTCCTGCAGAGCAGCAAGCCATCCATATCAGGTGCCACCCAGTGGCCTAACTTTCAGGTTTATATTCTTGGAAAGAAAGGCCCATGGAATATTTCTACGCTCCCAAATTCTATTTGTGGAAAATAACAAATAATATATTCAAGAATTGCCTGAAAGGAGTCTAAGATACAAATCCATCTGATATACATATCTGTTTTTCATTGGCATCTGCTACCAGATGGCCGCCACGACACCATTTTAACAGTTGGCAAATGCCAACCTCAGGAGCATCGGGTGCTAGTCTCCTTACAGCCACAGCCAAGGAGGCGACCCAAGCTCCAACAGCTCAATCAGGGAGACAGCAAATGCAAATTCAGGCTGAGATGATCAGCCAAGCCAAGTTTCACTACTCTCACTCTCACTTTGAGAAGAGAGCTCACCTACTGCCAGGGAGAGCGGCTGGCCCATTATGCAGCTATTCTCGTGGAGAATGCACCTCACAGACCCCCAGCCATGGAGCGCATCGGCCAAGGGCGCAGCTGCTGTGCTCTGAAGCTCACCCCTGCAGTCACCCAGCGGCTACTAAGCCTCCCCAAGGGCCACTGCCGGAGGGCAGCAGGTACAAAACCAGGCCTGTGACGGCCGGCTTTGCTTAAGGACGTCCTGCTGCCTCGGCTGCCGTGGGCTGCCTCAGAGACCAGTACACGCCACCGAACCTCCCCTCTTCACACGGAATAAAACTTGAATCATGGTCTGATGGTTCTCAGCCTTTTCCAACTCCTTTCCCGCTTCCTTTCATGCAAGCATTTCCCCTGGTAATATCTTTGTACTTTTAGTCCCAACTTGGCACCTTCTCAGAAGTCCAGACTAACATATCCTTCATTCATTTATTCATCCACTCATTCGTTCATTCATTCATTCAAAAAATATTTATTGAGCATCTACAATGTCCTGGCACTTTTTCCTAGACACTGGGGAGAGTGGTACAAGATTGAGAAAACCCNAAAAATATTTATTGAGCATCTACAATGTCCCGGCACTTTTTCCTAGACACTGGGGAGAGTGGTACAAGATTGAGAAAACCCTGCTTTCATAACCCTCCCCTTNCTACTTTCATAACCCTCCCCTTCAGAGTCATAAAACTACTTTGCTTTCTTGGGCTCTTACTGTGTTGGACACTGAGCTAAGAGCACACCCCATGGCCAGTCTCATTTGTTTTTCAGAACAACTTTTGAAGGAGGTATTATTCTTGTTTCATGGACAAGGAGAGATTAAGTGGCCAGGGGCTTCCCTGACAGCCAGCTTTTTTACTCTAAAACTCATGTTTTCAGCCATTAGGCTATGATGTATCTCTGCTATTGGGTGACAGCTCTGAGCACATTTTTTTTCTGGCAATGATTACACATCCAAAGAGTTGATTTTCCAAAGCCTGACTTCATTTCTTTAAATTTATGAGGCCCAGGAAGACCGTTTACAGAAGAGAGAAACAGCTTCAGATAACTCACAATCCTACGTTGTTCCAGAGTCAGGTTAATGACAACATTGTTTATCCCTACGCACCAGAGGTCCCTCGCCTGGTGCGAGCTTCTGGCTCAGCCTCACTATTACATAGAAATAGAGGACGGCTAACCCCTTCGCTTGTGTGCTTTTCATCCTGGTCACAGCCCAGCTCCAGCAAAACGGGTGGAAGGTGGTCACATACAGCTAGGCCTCTCTCAGAGGCCGGCCAGGCCTACTGCAGGGCCAGCTACCCCAACCCAAGTGCCAGCTGAAAGCAACCTTCTGAATACAATGCAAAGTCATACCGTGGTCTCCAAGGTCAGCTCTGGTGTCCTCTGCACTTGATTGGGGCACACCGGGGTCCCGGCAAGGAATGGGCTGATACTCGGGCACATTCTCCGAAGGCTGGTCATCAGATTCCTGTGGAAGGTGACTGACAACTCGTGAGAAACACGAAAGTAAAGAGCACTACCACATATGAAACATTTTTATTTAGAAGACTGTTTGACAACAAAAGCCTATTGAACCTTCTCCCTTAAACATGTTCACAGTTTCAAATTTCAAGAAGGCAGCTTGGGACATGAGAAACTGCCTTGAGTAAATAGGGCAAAACATCTTAACCTCCCAAGGTGAGGCCTCGGTTTCAGGCGAGTGGCACGCCCGGCGTGCGGGGCTGAAGGAGACACACGTCCAGGTTCGTGCCTGAGCAGCACCAATCGGTGGCTGAGAACAAGTCCCTCCTTCAAGTACGCACCGTGGGTACCACACGCACCTCACCTCACTCTAGGCCAGCCCTGCTCGGTCTCCTCATCTCAAAAGCTGAGGTATTAATTTGGATGCCTCCCAAATTCACGTCTGGCTGTAAAAGTTCTGTGATTCTATAAATTCCAATTTCCTAAATGAAAGAGACCTAAGAGGTCACATGAAAGAATTCATACTTCAAACAAAGTTAAATTTCTCAGCTATATCAATAGATATTTCAATAAGGCACTTTGCTTTTCTTTAGTGATGTGTGTGTGTGTGTGTGTGTGTGTGTGTGTGTGTGTTTACAACCTAGAGCCGATGGTGACTTGCCCTGTTTTCCTTGATGCATGGCCTTATGCAGAACTACTCCAAGAGTGTCTTCATATTAAAAATAGAAAGGAAAGTTCAAACGAATCCTGAATGAATAAATAAAAGCCACAACACGCTGTGGTGCAGCATTTGTGAAAATGCGGTCACAAAACATTTTTAAGAAGTCCGTTGGTCATGCTGCATAGTAATTTCCGCACAACGTGAGGCTGATTTCGAATTTCCAAGGATCAGCAATAGCACACAAAGAGCTTTTAGAACAAGAACAGAGACTGCGTGAAATGCACTTTTATGGGTACTTCAGAAATTATTTGAAAATAAGTATTTGGACTCTCAACTGACTTTGATTTGTGGAGGTTCTGTTTGAGGGGAAGAGACAGAATTGTTGTAAAGGTTTCTCTTAGAAAGAGGACTTGCTCTGATCTTTGGTTTGTGTTACTATTTCACGTGTGGAGACCTGCTCTGCTAGGTACTTTTCACAGAAACCCAATTCTGATACCTTCCCAACTATATATGCCACAGGATAAAACAAAGACTGGCCTTATTGTGTGTGCGATGGTAGCTGGTTTTTAAGCTACTGTCTTTAATACGTTTTTCAAAAACCGATTTTGGAGAGAGAGAGACATTGATGTGAGAAACATTGATCGGCTGCTCCTGCACGCCCCCTAGTGGGGATCGAGCCCACAGCCCACATATGTGCCCTGACCAGGGATCGAACCAGCAACCTGTTGGTGCACTGGGTGACACTCAGCCAAGTGAGCCACATCGGCCAGGGCCTAAGCTACCATCTTTAAAGAAACAGTGCCTAACTTGATTCCACATTCAGCTATACTTCAAGATTTCAGAGTCCAGATCCAGCCAAGCAGAAAATGACTGTGCCCTGGCCAGTGTAGTTCAGTGGTCAGAGTGTCAGCTTGTGCACCGAAGGTTTGATTCCCAGTCAAGGGCACTACCAGGGCTGCAACCGATCAATGTGCCTCTCCCACATCCATGTTTCTTTCTTTCTCTCTCTCTCCCCCTCCCTTCCACTCTCTCTGAAAGTCAATGGCTGGGGGGCGAATGACTGCAACAATAAAAGGCCCTGCCAGTTAGGGTCTAAAAAACAAAACAAGCCACTCTCCTAAATGCCACAAATTTTTTCACAATATGTTTAAGAAGTGACAGCCAGCCCGTCACTCCCCTAACTCTGATTCTATCGCCTACAACTGCTTTTGAGCTATAAAGAGGTTCGCTTCAGCTGGCGAGAGAGAAGGGAGCAGCAGCCCCCGTGAGATCAGGCAGAAATTAACTCGGAACAGGAACAGGCCCCTCTTCCTTCCTTTCCTCCTTTATCATGTTCTCTTTAGCGACTTGCATCTGATTAATTCGATTCCTTTCTTATACTTTATCTTTTTCAGCTCCTCAAGGCCTTTCCTTGAGTGTTTAAAACCCTTCAGCCCCTAGGCAAAGTGTTCGGCTGCCCGTTTCCCCTCCTTTGTTCTCTGGATGTCATTAAACCCTCCTCACTCACCTCACACTAGTGGGGTGCTGTGAATGTGATTAAAGCTGCCCCTTCACCGGGCCCCCTCCCTGCACCTGCACCTCCTCCGGGAGGAGTAGAAAGCCTTCCCTCAGGTCACTCCTGCTTTTCTTCCCTTCCCATTAAATGCTTTTTTTCCAAAGGGGTTGTGAGGAGGTCTATTCACAGGTGGCTCTTCCAGGCCTTCCTTCATCTGAAGGTGAACTGCTGTTTCCAAGGGCCCCAGCTCTGTCCGCTGCGGTCCTGGACCAGCAGCATCGGAATCGCCAGGCAGCTTGTTAGGAATGCAGCATCCCAGGCCCCACCCAGACAGGGTCTGTGTTTCAACAAGACCAGCGGGTGATGCTGAAGTCTGAGGCACATTGCTGTAGGCCAGAAGAATTTGGAGGAAGGCCAGTTGATTGTGGGCCTGAGAGGTCGAAGGAGGTTTTCCTGAAGAGGAAGTGCCATTTGAAAGGGAGGAGGTGGGGTGCTATCAGTGGGCCAGAGGGAAATGACTGATGCAATTGCACAAAAGGAAGACGGGAGACCTGGACGTGGGGCTAAGCCACCCCGCCTGCAGAGCTGAAACAGCTGGAAGAGGGTACCATTTTCAAGAGCCACGTATCTGCCTGGAGCATTTCCTGCCCCCATCGTCTGCAAATTTAGGAAACGGGCTTCTGGAAAGTTCAGGGCCAAAGACGTTGGTGATACTAAATCTTAGAAGAACAGAGAATGAACCAACATCTCTGACCGAGACAGCATCAGGCACTCCCCCACCCCCACCCCCGCTCCCTTACCCTTTGCTGATGGGAAGGGGTGGCAATGGGAAGAAGCAGGTAGACAATGTGGAGTTGGGATTTCGTAACATCTGTGTGAAATACTCTTTGTTTAAGTTGGGCCAAGATCTGGACTCTGTCTGGCTCCCCTGCTCTATGGGATAATATGTCCCTAACAAAATCTCCTGACATTCTGCCTACATTATGGCCTCAATCTTATCTTAAGTTACTTGAGGATCCCCCAATGATTCTAGTTTTCAGAACTTTGAAACACTTGCAACCACTAAATAATTGAGAAAGGTGAATCACCTCTCAGAGGGAGGCAAAAAAATAAGTGTTCCTAGGCTGTGCCTGGCTGAGTGAGCTCTGCTGGAGCTCCTGCATATCCAGGATTTGGAGCCCTGGGATTACTGAGTGATAGCAGAAAGAGCACCCTCAGACTTCAGGGATCATCCCCACAGCCTCAGGGGGCTTGGTTCTTCCTGCTGGAGGAAGGAATCTCCCTCAGATGCAGCAACCTCCAGTGAATGAACAAACAGGATTTGAGACGATAAAAATGACTCCTTCCCAAGATGCTTTTACCGGAAGAGCTAGGGGTTGGTGGTGATGTCTACTGTGCAAATATGACCCTGAAGAAAGACTGCCTTACGTACCAGAGCCGACACAAAGAAAACAGGATTTGATATCCAGGGTCTTGAGATGCAGAGGACGTGAATTTAGGGTTCATTTCATGTGAATCTGCAACACTGTTTATTATTGGATATCTATGGCAATTCTTCAAAGTTTGAATGGGATTATCAATGCAAGGCATGATATAGATGGAAGGCAAAATAAAAGGGGAAAGAATAAAATCTAAGTCAAAAAGAGGACCACAGACTAAAGAGATAAAGTAACAAGAGCGGGACTGAAATCCCAAGTCAGGTATACACGTATTTGTTCTGAAAGGTCATAATTTTAACATCAGTTGTTCATTCAGCACCGATCAGCTTGTCCACACTAGGCGCTCGGTACTTGTTGGATGAGCCAGTTGCCCACCTCTGAGTAGAGCTGCTTTGAATTAGTGCAGTCATTAACTGTTGCTTATATTCTAAAGAAACCCCAGGGCATCCTCCCTGGTGGGTCCAAACCCCAGGCGGGTCTGGATGCTTTTTTTCTACCTATCCCTCTTCCTACCCAACTGGCCGCATGAATCTGAAAAGTCTGAGGGAAAGGTTTTCTGTAAAATGTAAAACAAGAGTGCTTACGTGGAGCACATCAACAGTTAGCTGCTGAAAGTTCCGAGATCTCCATTCTTGCATTCGCTTCTTATTTTCTTCATATTTTTCTTCCACAAGCTTTCTGCAAATTTCAAGCAAATGTAGAAAAATAGCCTCAATTTGCTAAAACCACATCTATATTATAGGTGAGTGTGATCCCTGTTTCAACAAGCAAACTGGGATGATAGAAAGGCAGGCCAACGGGCCTCCCTCTCCTGAAGATGTGTGTGCAGCGCAGCACCCGCTCGATGCTCCCTTAAAGCACACACGAGGATGCTCTACAACCCCTAAAACACAGAAGGAGACGGTACTGATCCCTGTGTGTTTTGTGACTGTAATGACAGGGTCTGTCCCTGATGCCCAGCACAGTGCCTAGCACATACTGATAACCCAATAACTGCTTTCAGGAAGAAAAAAACACACTACACAAGGAAATAGAGCAACATTTCAAAGAATTTATGGAAAAGACTATGAGTCTCACTGTGGAGGGGAATTTTTCTCAGACACATTTTCTCTGCTACAGGAGAGTTGAATTTAATAGATCTGTTACTAAACTGGAAGACTGATTTGAGTTCTTGTAATTACTTTATACTTAGATTTTTTTTTTTGGAAATGTCACTGAACATCCATGTGATCAAATTTTCTTGTCTATAAAATGAATTCATTATAACCCTTCTGACAACAGAGCCATTTTCTAGCTAAAACACATGACCTCTCTCAAATTCTAGAAATAATCAAAAACAATTCCAATGCAAGTCATTCATAAATTCAAGACCAAACTTTACTAAAAAGCCATTGCCTTTAAATAAGGAAAATATTATATGTCATGTAGAAGATATGACTTTTCTTTTGTGTATAAAAAAGTTTTAATCTGAAAAAATAATTTGTAATATGGTGGTAAGTAATTAAATAGTCTTTAATCTGTTCCTATTAAATTTTCCTTTTACCCTCAACCAATGACATAAGTCATGATAACCTGGATATATTGCCATTTCTGAGGTGTTAGAACAGATTTGGGATGGTGAGTTGAGGTAAGGACTCAAACAATTTATGTGACTATATTTTCCTAGTAAAACCCACAATCAGTGGTATAATGGTTTGCAGAAACCAACTTGTACTGGCTCCCAAGAGCAGGTTGCATACATATCTTTCCAACTGAACAGTCGATAATCACATTGGTAGCTTGAAATTGGCCATAATGGGAGTCTTTACACCACAGAAATCAGCAAACAAATTAGCAGTCACTCCCCGCAGCCCCACTCACCTCACAACCACAGAGGTGGTTGTTAAACATCTCCCAGCACCCTACCACCCATGATCACGTTGAAGGAAGTCTTTTTCCACATTTATTAAAGAAAACATGTCTTAAGGGGAAAATAATCTCACAGGTTCTTACTTGGTGCATCATGATATTCTTTGAAAGCACAAGGATAGATCTAAATCATTTTTAGATACAGTGACAAGGTGACAAAATGAACAGATTTGAGTTTCAGGTCTTTTCTGTCTCCNGATTTATTAAAGAAAGCATGTCTTAAGGGGAAAATAATCTCACAGGTTTTTACTTGGTGCATCATGATATTCTTTGAAAGCACAAGAATACATCTAAATCATTTTTTAGATACAGCGACAAGGTGACAAAATGAACAGATTTGAGTTTCAGGTCTTTTCTGTCTCCCTAGGTCTTGGTTGGGGCTTCTAAGCTACCAAAAAGTTGGCAGAAGAAGAAAGAAGGAGAAAAATTAGGAAATGGAATAACCCCCCAACTGAAAAATCAGTCTGTGAGAAATTGGAGTCGAGAGTTTGGGAATTTCCCCTTTCCATGGAAATACTCTAATTACCAGTGACAGTCCCACCAGCAGCACTGCCCTGAGCGCAGACGTTTCGAAGGGCTGCACTTGGCAGAACAGAGCTCCGTCTCCCGACTGCTTCCCAAGGCCAACGATTTCCTGCCGGTGCCTGCTCCTCCCTGCGGATCAGCCAGGACCCGGCAGGCAGGGGGGTACAGCGAGCACCCGGGGAATGAGGGGGACTGAGGTCCAGATCCTGAAGTCGCCTTTTTCACCCTCTCACTGGCTATGAACAGAGGGGTCAGCAACAATGAGGCTTCATCTGGAGCCTGGCAATATTTTTATCACTTAGTAACCTCCCTGATATCCAATCTTTATGAAAAGATTAATTAAAATTAATCAGAAGAAAGCCTAATATTAACAGTGCCTGGCATCCAATCACTGTCTATGGCTCAATAACCATCTCTGGAGGGAATGAATGAATAAATAAACATTATATGGATAGTGAGTGGGAGCATTTTGTTTTCTTCTTTGGTTTTGCTTCTCTTCAGGAAATTCCTTCAGTAGATTCCTTGAGGGCCCTGGGAAGTGGCCAAAGGGCTGGGGTACCCTACGGAAAGGCCACTTACTTTAGCTTGCTGGCTTTCTCATCAGCTGCCTGGAGCTTTCTCAGCCGCATCCTCTCTCTTGGTGTCATTTTCTGCACTTCCGAGAGCGCCCGCAGGGTCTGCAGGTGGATCTGCTTTTGCCTAGAGAAAATACAGATTCCCCGCACACAGCACATCCCAAACATGCTCAGAAAAATTAAACAAATATTTTACAGAAGGATCATTACACTACTGAGAAGGGAAAAGCATCTCGAGACAGGCCAGGCAAAACTAATAAAGCCTGGGTAGGTAATGAGCCAACCAGGACTGTGGTTAATTGGCAATATTTTTCAAATTAGATTTTTGTTTAAAAGCAAATTATGTACTTTCCAAATTTCTGCTCATTTCATTGCCTATGACTCTTTTTCAAATTAGGATCTTGGCCATTAAGAATTAAATAGATAGGCAGACTAATTCGACCATGTGGATAGAACACAGTCTTTGGAAATAGGCAGGGTTTGAATCCCATGTGCACCCTCATTCATTAGATTTGTAGCCTTGGGTAAGTTACTGAACTTCCCTAAACCTCAGTTTTCTCACCCGTAAAGAATGGGTTAGCTCTGGCCGGTTTGGCTCCGTGGTTAGAGTGTTGGCCTGCGGACTGAAGGGTCTCGGGTTCAATTCCAGTCAAGGACATGTACCTCAGGCTCGATCTCTGGCCCTGGTTAGGGCACGCGCAGGAGGCAATCAATCAATGTGTCTCTCTCACATTGATGTTCCTCTCTCTCTCTCCCCCCCCCCCCCCCCCCCCCCCCCCCCCC